CCTGAGTTTGATTTCTCAAAGATTGATCGATCACAGCAGCGGACTTCAGGACGTAATGTACGCATTATGACCATGTGTTAGTCAGTAATATTTAAACAATTTATACGCTAAAGGATATATTAAATTAAAAAAGAGATGTGTGTGTGTGTGTGTATAAATTATAAAATCAGAAAAGATATATTTTATAATTCAGCTCCCTTTATTAAATAATTTAAAAGTCAATGTCGTTATTTTGTTGGCAAACAAAAATTGTATAAAATATTAATGCATTTACAGTTACAGCTGTGACTGGTATAATATTTCATTAAGATCGAGACGTCTCTTGAAATTTACATTACTGCGTACTGCTAAGCCGTGCCAAATAAAAGCTGGTAAGGTGTTTGTAATGTCGATGGTGAATTTCAGCTCGGTATGTGCAAAACGCAATATTTCTTTGAATATATATTTAAAATCAAAAACATTATTGTGACATTATTTTTAGATCTTGCAAGTATCCTTATCGTATTTTACGATGCTTACGTCACTACAGTAAGAATCGTAACAAAGTTTATAATGGAATTATAACTTTTGGGAATATGTCAACATCATTATTAATCTTGCTTTATACTATATCAAACGATATACATATATATAAATAATACATATATACATATATATAGATAATACATATATATAAATTTATACATTTTTTAATGCACCAATTAAAATATATTCCTTAAGAAAAGCTATTCAATTTTGTGTTTATGTCGATTATTTCTTTTACATGAAATATGATCGTAATGTGTAATAATTGTAATAAATAATAAATACAGATATAAATCATCATTTTGTTGTCACAGTTATTAATTAGACAAATATAATCATTAAATAAATAACTTAAAACAAATGTGCAAGTTATGTGAGTGCACATAATTATTTCAAGCTTATTTAATAAATTGCATACTATAATAATATGTATCTTTCCCTCTCTTAAAAAAAAATTGGATAAAAATTGTGGTGTATGCGCGTGGAGAGAGAGGGCACTAAGTACGGGTGTGTGATGTGTGAGTGCGTGTGAGGAGAGCGAGGCGCTCGCGTAGTTTTGTAAGCCGGAAGTGAGTTGAGAGAGTCACGCGGCTCAGATAATATACGATCAAGGTTGAATTAACAACAAGTCATTGCATCAATTCATCCTCTCGCATCCTAAGGTATCCTCGCACCCACGACAAGGCGAAGACTTTGCAATTGGCGACGAGGACGATTGAGCCGAGGGTTCTCGGGATCGAGAGCCGGGAGCGACAGGCGCAGCGACAGTATTTGCGACGAGCGAAAGACGGCTAACAACGGGCCGAACAGCACAGGCAACGCCTTGTGATAGGAACTCAGGATACTTGGTGCAGTAAGTAACAGATCGAGAGAACGCACAGAAGACGTCAACAACGACGTATAAAGCGCAATACATGTAACACGGGTTACAGACATACAAACGAACAAGTAATCTCGGGGTAGCGAATGAGCGACACAAAGCCAAAGAAAGGCGAGACTTCGTCACCGGCACGCAAACTAACAGCGAGTGAGGCGCAGCACCTACTAAAACCAGAGATAATCGCAGAGCTACGGAGAAGAGGCGTCGACGTCGACGATTCTCAAAGCAGAGATAGTCTACGGGAGCACCTCGTGAGACTAGTGAGGTTAGAGCTCGAGAGCGCGGGCAAAGAGGCCAGACCGGCATCCTCGAACACAGTCGGTACAACAGGTAACGTAAACCCAAGAAAAACCGCGGATCGAGGCACGAGCGGTAGAGGGAGACAGCGAAAACGTCAACAACGACGACGGACAGATCGACGATAGCGACGAGCACGCGAGCAGTGACGACGACATGGCGCTTGACGTAAAAATATTTTTCAGGCTAGAATCGGACGACTGGAAATCATTCACGGAAAGGCTGGAGCTGTTTTTTTTTTCGCAAAAGACATTACAGAGATGGAAAAAAAGCGAGCACATTTACTGACGCACATCGATGAAGACACGTATAAACTGTTCAAAACCCTGACTGCGCCAGACAAACCAGCGACAAAAACATGCAACGACCTAGTTAAGCTGCTAGCTGGACACCTCCGCCGTCCGAAGTCATGGAGCGTTGCAATTTTAATCGCGCGAAACAAGAGCCAAATGAGACAGTCGCGGAGTTTGCGACACGACTGAGGCTACTGGCACTCAACTGCAATTTTGCGAATAACCTGAGCAACGCATTGCGAGATCAATTCGTGTGCGAGATCCACGAGGAGTCAACACGGATCAAATTATTCAAACGTTTAAACCTAACGTTTGAAGATGCGTGCAAAGAGGCCACAGCGAGAGAGAGAGCGCGATGAAGAACGCAACAGGAGCATTACAATCGCTGTCGAACAAAAATGTCAAACACGAAAGTTTTGCTATGGACCAATCAAAGAACCGTAAGCCCCGGCACAAGCAGCAAAACAAGCGCGCAAGTGGGCCAGTGCACGACCAAGTGCAAGCGCAACAAGCAAGCACGCAACGCACGGGCGGAGTGACGTGCTACTGCTGTGGAGAAAAGGGGCATGAGACAAAGGCATGCAAGTATCGAGACAGGAGTTGCAATTTCTGCCACAACAAGGGTCACCTGGAACGGGCCTGCATAAAGAAGAAGAAACTGTCGAACAAATTTTTGCAGGAGGAGCACAGCGACACGAAGGACGAGAGCAACAGTGGAGGCAGCAGAGAAAGCAGCACATCCAGAAGCAACAATTACCTCGATTTTTTTAACATGGACTACAAGATTAATGTACACCATAGCAACGCAACCAGGGCAGACCCAATGTTTTTCGATGTAAAGATTAATGGTCAATTAATCAAAATAAAATTTGACTTAGGTACATACTTTAACGTAATGTCTGAAGGTTTTGTTAAACGTAAATTCAAAAATATTAACATTGAAAAATCAGAGATAAATCTGCTCACCTATGAAGACAATTCAATGGAGCCACTGGGCCAATTAAAAAACCTTAAGGTCAATTTTAATATCGCCACTAAAATTTTACATTGCGTAGTATTGAAGGGAAACAAAGTCCCCTTAATAGGAAGACAATGGCTCTCAGCGTTTGGGCTGTGGCCATTAAAGTCACTTAGCAGTTCAGGCATTGCGCTAAATAACAAACAGGCGATACATAAATTGCAGACGAACGACGTACGCGACAAATTATTAACAGAATTTGAAGTACTATTCAGCAATACGCCAGGCGTATACAACAAGCGCAACGTTAGAATTCATGTAAAACCAAACACCAAACCAGTCGCGTTTGGAGCAAGGCATGTACCATACGCGTTAAAGCCAAAGATCGAGCAAGAACTTGAACGGTTAGTCAAGCTAGGCCATTTGGAAAAGGTAGAGTCGAGCGAATAGGCAACCCCCATTGTGCCGGTACTAAAGGGTAATGATCAGGTGAGAATTTGTGGAGATTTTAAAATTACATTGAACCCGCATTTAAAAGTAACGAAACGTCCTTTTCCGCGAATCGACGACATCTTTGCAGTAATGCGGAACGGCTCAACATTTTCTCAGCTAGATCTATCACACGCATACATGCAAGTACCAATTGACGTAGAGTCTCGGAAATATCTCACAATCGCAACGCATGCCGGCCTGTTTCGATACACAAAAATGATGGAAGGTACAGCCCTTGCTCCAGACGAGTTTGTACAAATTATGGAGGAATGTTTACAAGGAATTCCTAATACTATCGCGTACATGGACATCATTTACGTAACGGGCAAAACGACTGAGGAACATCTTGAAAATTTGAGACTGGTTTGCCAAAGGCTAACGGAGCGCGGATTAAGGCTAAACAAGGATAAATGCGATTTCATGAAAGAGCGTATAGATATTCTGGGATTTGTGATAGACAAAAACGGACTGCACAAATCCAAAACAAAGGTTAAAGCGATGTACGAAGCGCCGCGTCCGGAAAACACTAAACAGCTGGTCTCATTCCTTGGACTAATTAATTTCTACGCGAGATTTCTGAAAAACAGATCAGATAAGTTACGACCGCTTTTTGATTGTGCAAACAAAGAAGTTTTCGAATGGACCAAGGAGTGCGAAAAAGCTTTTTGGTGGTTTAAAAACGAGATGATTTCCCCGCGAGTTCTAGCGCACTATGACCCAGACGAGCAACTGGTACTAGCGTGCGACGCGTCCCACTACGGACTCTCAGCGATTCTGTCATACAAATACAAAGACGGCACAGAACGGCCAATTGTTTTCGCGTCAAAACGTATTCCAGAAAAAGAGCTGAACAGAGCAATAAACGACAAGGAGGCATGCGCCATTGTTTTCGGGTTCGTTAAATTTTACGATTTTGTTTACGGCCGTAAAATAACTCTACGCACCGATCATAAGCCGCTTGAAACCATTTTCGGCCCAAAGAAGGGCATACCACTGACGGCGGCAACTAGATTACAACGCTGGGCAATTTTTGTGTCAGGGTTCGAGTATGACATCGAATGGATTAAATCAGAACAAAACGGGAATTGTGACGCGCTATCGCGGTTACCTATCGAGGACAATACGGAAATATTTGAATCAGACGTTACACAACTTCATTTCGTTACCAAGGGCGCGAAGGTAATAGACTACGGAACTATTGTTTACGAGACAAAACGTGACCAGGTCTTATCGCGAATAACAAGGTTCTGCGACAGGTTGGCCCACGAACAGTAAAGAGCTCACCGAGGAAGAGAAACAGTTTTTCACGAAGCGGTATGAATTATCAGTTGAAAATAATTGTTTATTTTGGGGATACCGAATAGTCATACCGGATAGGCTACGAGGTCGAATTCGGGATGACCTACATTTGTTGCACCTAGGAATGGTCAAAATGAAATCGTTAGCGCGGTCTTTGGATCCAATTCAACCTCATTTTTAGGGGATAATTTTTAAGGGCTGATTTTGATCATCATATGTGTGAATTTTATCAAAATACATTCTGGTAGAATTCTATGGCCTGTAGACTTAATAAAAAAGTTTTATGTTTAATTGCCTGTGAATAATTGCCCAGTTGTTTAAATGATGTGTAGGGGATGATTTTTATTGATTGGTTATGATCCTTATGGGGGTGAATTTGATTGAAATATATTCTGAAAAAATTTCACGGCCCGTGAACTCTATTTAAATTGTTTACTCTATTTGTTTTAAAATAATTGTCAATTTGTCGAAATGTTGATTCAGAGGTGGTTTTGAAGGGTTGATTTTAATTATAATGGGGGGTAACGTCTGAAAACTATTTAATTGGATGTCATAAACCATTTTGTTTCAAAGTTGCATCGAATTTGATAGAAACTGCTAAGATTTTAGATGTTATTTGCATACTTTCCTAATTTTTAGGGTAGTTTGAGCGATATTTTGGTCATACTGCCCCACCTTTGAATGTAAATGAAAATCGCCATACGGCATCCAAAAATTAAGTTTTCGACGGAAATTTTGAGATCTCGCCAAGCATTTTATCTTCAAAAATAAAATGTGCAGAGGGGTGGCTATTTTGAGAAAGAATGCCCCATATATATATATATATATATATTATAATTTACCTTATATATACCTTATATTACCTTATAATTTACCTTATATATATATATAATATATATATATATATATATATATATTTATATATGTATATAAGGTAAATTATAATTTTCAATAAAGTAAAAAATAATTATTAATATGAGTAAAATTTACTCAAGAAATGGAATAGAAATTATGTATGTACATGTACCGCACATGTGTGTGTACAAGTTTATTCTTATTTACAAGAGTTGGGCGTTTGCGCGTAAAATATATAATAATCTACATTTACATGTATACAATGTAAACTATATGTTTAACATGTCATGTAAACAATGATTAAATGGATCATCGAACACTCATATTTTATCAGAAATATCGAAAATTCATGTTTTGTTTGCAATTTTATTTTCAGTTATTATTATTTAGCTTAGGTACAATTTTCAAGACGCTATGAAAAATTAACAATAGTTTTGAAGATCTTAATTTTATTAAATTGCAGTTTATTAAATTGGAATATATGTATATGTACGGTATGTACATTACAATTCGTTACTTCTTTATACGTAAGTATAGAATATATGAACACCAACACCTTGTTACGGCTCCACGCTCCATCTTTCTTTGATTAATTTCTAATCTTATGAGCCTGTACTATTATATTCTTAATCTTATATTTGTGAAAAAATAAATATTATGTACATTGTGTATATATTATATATTGCAACCCTAAACTTTTGTAACTCTAATTATAGTTTAAATAATATTTCTTTTCGTCGTTTGAAAGCTGATAAAAATCAACATAAATAATAATATTTAGGTATATATTAGTATCATATGTATATTTTATGTACAAGTAATAAATCAATTATAATTGAAATGCATTTAATCTAATTTAGTCTAGAACTACTTTTTATTCTTCTAGGATTATTTGCAAAAATACTGTTTAAAGGAATTAATCAATTAATTACTCAATTATAATAATTAGTTATATTGTCTACATGAAAAAGGTTTGAATAAACATAATGTAAACAATATGCAAACAATCCATGTAGATGTAGTCTTGAAGTTTACCACATAACCTTATTATTTACCCTATTATTTACTTTTTATCTTTTTTTCACTCTGTGTGTTCAGAAGATTGTGTATCACCAGTATATGAGATCATTCATGCTGATGAACAATCTTTTTTTAAATGAATAACAGACCTTTTACCAATTCCGAATATATGCAAGATAATAAAAGTTTATTTGAAGGTATTCAAAGTGATTACAATTTACGATTTAAATAACATTGTACTATAAGTATCTTAAAAAATATTTCTTTTTTTTGGAATTATAAACAATTCAACATTTTTCTAAAAATAAAAAACAGTGATCTAAATATATAAATATATCCTAGCAAAAATAGTTGGCGATTTATTTTTTAAATAACATTATTTAAAGTTATACCTTTGATTTTGCAATAATAATTTAGACCACTATAAATGAGTCAATAATAAAAAAAATAATTTTAAATAATAAAGCAACTTACTAATTGCAATAATTTTAAAGTGGATTAAAATTAACTTGTAAATATGATAATTTACTCGTTTTCGTGACAGAAGCAAAAACAAAAACGAAGAGAGCATAAGATTTAGGAAAAAGACCACATTACCATGTTTTTTGTACAAATATGGTCTGTAGTGATAGGCATACATTTAGTTAATTATAAGTATAATATTATGAGTGTAATAATGTCAGAAGGAAGAGAGGGAATAGAATGGATACTGAAAGTCAAAAGAGTAAGAAGCGAAAAGGAATGGCAGAGAAGACAAAAGGAAGACAAGCAAAAAGAAGAATAATGCGAGAAACGAGAGGAAAAGTACACTGAAACGGGAAGAAGGTTGTGTTTTGTCTCCGTTCTCTGTAAATATTGATATTGTATAAGAATTAGGAAGCTTAAACGTGCAGAATGTATCTCGAGAAGGGAATCATTATCATTAAATTAAAAAAAATAATAATAATATTATAAATAAAAATATTAACTTAATATAGAAAAGAATAAGATAGTCTCACCATAAAAGAAAACTCGCATACTTTGAAATATTCTTATCTTGTAATTTTAGAGACTACAGATGTGGATTTATAAGGCAAAGAGTATGTCCATCGCAGTAGGATCTTATGATTGCAAAATGTAACGCACTAAGAGAAATGCGACTGTGTACTTATAAATATATGATGCTTTATTACGCAAAATTGTAGAATATTATCTTAGCGTATTTCATGATGACTTCTTTTAAAAACTGTCTCCAAGAGAATACACGATAAGCTCTGTGATTAGGCGTGAATATTCAATGAGATATTTGATCGTTTCGTACAGTATTTCTCTATCTCGCTAACACAAAATGTCTTTTTACGACAATCGCTACTATCACTTCAACAAAATACTCCTATACATTATCGGTCAATGGCCGTTTCAATCGCGACTTCAAAGCAACATAATGTTAGTCATTATGGTGTTGTTGGTTTCCACTTTGACGGCCTTAGAGGTAGTTAAAGATACGTATGACAGTAAACGTTAGAGTCTGAAATTGATGTGCTGTTCCTGATTTTCTGTAGTTTTGGGGCTTGCTAGCTGGGATTACGGATTTGAGCATCATCTTGGATAATGTTCCGCCGTTACTAATGAATAGTTTCTTCGCAATAAAGTTAATAAATTGTTTGTGTAATAAATATAAAGTTCGTACGTTATATTCTGCACGAAGTGAAACAAATTGTTTTATAAATGTAAACGGTACGATTTCTTTGAGCTGCAGATGAAAGAGTTGCTGGAGCACATCGAAAAGACTTGGAAAATAATGCACGTAAGACCTGAGAATAAAATATTAAGATTTTACGCAGAAGAAAGCAGAACATTCACAATACGATACATGGGTAAGTTGTCATTTTATAACAATTAAGAATTTTTGAATTTCATACCGCAAACTTAGCAATATATGAAAAAATTATTATTACCTCTTGACATTGCTTTGAATCTATTTTCATAAAATTATTTTTTTATAAATTTATAAAATAAATTTTTATGTCTTTCTTTCGCTTTTCAAGATATTAACAAAGTGTTTCAAATAAATTGAAATATTTGATATTTTTTGCCTTTAGATCTGCGCTTACATTCTCGTTATGTGAACTTTTATATAGAAAAATCTTGCATTAATCAATTAAATTATCATCACTTTTAAAGAAATGTAAAGAAAAATGAGAATAATTAATTCCAGCTGGTATGTACACGGCATGGTTCCTTTATTGCGGAATACCAATGGTCATTAGCCAAATTAATTTACTCTTACCGGCGAACAAAACTTATTCGGTCAGGTTTCTGTATCGTATGGAACATGTTCTCGACATGGACAAATATAACAACTTGTTGATGCTTCACAGCTTTTTCACCGTATTTTACATAATCTCCGTTTTGGTAGCTACCGATTGTTTGTTCATCCTTTGCACTCAGCATGCCTGCGCATTGTTCAAATGTGTAAAGTAAATAGTTCGCGCGAATAAAGCTGCAGTATCAAAAGAATCTCTTTTGGACTGATATTTTTAACAAAAATTATGCTTTTATAAAACAGATACAACGTAGAGCGTGTACAAGGTTCGGATCTTATGTTACTCAACCCGAATATTACGGATGACGAAGCATATCATGCCCTAATCAATTGCATCAAATTGTATAAGCGTGCCTTAAAGTTAGTGCTACTTTCAGATACGTTTTGCATAGTTTAGAAGTAATTATGAATATTTATAAAGTATTCAAAAAACACACTAAAGTATTAAAAAACAGTTTTTCAACATGATACTTATAGTAAATTAATAATTTTTTATATTCTACACTCAGCTAAATAATTAAAAAATCAAGAAGAATTGTCTAAAAAAATAAGCAAATTTTAAACAGCTGTAAGGAAAAGTCCCGGCCGGTGGGTAGCCTCGGTCATTGCAAAAAATTAAACTTTCCGTGTGTTTACTATCAGTGTTTTGTTCTTTCTGCACTCATTTGTGTCCCACTAGACACGTGCGGTTAGTTGAGTCAGATGGGCTGTTGTGTTTGGATATGTATAACAGTGAATATTGGGTTCGGCGAAATATAATTACGCGACGATTAATATTGAAAAAGGTGTATTATTGAAAAGACGTAAGTAATTATGTATTCTACCTTATTTACGTACTGCAAAACTATTGTATGTTATGTCTTTCCTTCTGCTTGAACAAATGTTAACGTATTTTGGTAATGTACCTAACTATGATTTTGAACAAAGTCAAGTCGGGTAGCACCGGCCACCAGTTTTGTGGGTAGCTCCGGCCACTTGTTCGAAAACCTATTTCTTTTTAAAGGTCTAGACAAAGAGGTTTATTCATAATTTCTTTCATTTATTTATCGTAGGCGAGTGTTAAAATGCCTAAATTTAAAGGCAGAAGCACAAGCCGAGGAAACTGAAACGAAGAAAATATGAAAAGAGCAATTTAAGAAGTTCTTGAACGTAAGAGTTCTCAGAGAGCTGCCGCAGATAGATACCAAGTTCCACGCACTTCACTGCAGGATCGCGTCAAGGCTATAAAACAAGGTCATCAGATTATTCTCAAGCCAAAACTAGGGCGTTTTCAGCAAACATTTACCCCTGAATTTGAAAGGCAATTGTGTGAGCATGTCATCGATTTGGACAATCGTCTCATGCCTTTAACAAGAAGTGAGTTTTTACGCCTTGCTTTTTCTAGCAGAAAAAAATCAAAATTCCTCACAGGTTTAATAATGAAAAGCGGATGGCTGGGGAAAATTTTTTCTGTAACTTCAAGAAGAGAAATCCAGATTTGGCACTGAGAACGCCTGAGGCGACAAGCTTGATGCGAATTATAGGCTTCAATAAATTCCAGGTTGATCGGTTTTATGATCTTTTCTTAAAACTCCAAGGACAGTTCAGATTCCAAGCTTCTCAAATATACAATGCTGATGAAACAGGAGTCTCTACTATCCATAAAAATCACAAGGTATTGTCAGTGAAAGGGAAGAAACAGGTTGAGAAACTCACGTCAGCAGAACGAGGTCGTAATGTCACTGCCATGTTTGCTATGAATGCTGCAGGTCACTTTGTACCACTCATGTTTATTTTTCCAAGGATAAAAATGGATAAGAATGGTCGTCTAATGATTGGTGCTCCTCCAGAAAGTATTGGTGTTGCTTGTAAAAGCGGTTAGATGAATGCTCAGATATTCCTTTGATGGCTACAACATTTTCAGCAGCATGTTCATTTTTTTGCAGCTCGTCCGATTCTCCTGATATTGGATGGACATAGTACCCATAAAGAGCTGAATGTTATTGAATATGCTCGGGGATAATTACATTCACATGTTGAGCACTCCTCCGCACACAACTCATAAGCTTCAGCCGCTTGACCGTGTGTTTTTCAAGCCTTTCAAGCAGGCTTATGGATCAACAAGTGCATAATGGATGCGTCAAAATCCTGGTACTCTACTGACGGAATACGATATTGCTGGACTTGTTAACACAGCGTTTACCAAAGTTGCTAGACTGGATATAGCCCAAAATGGCTTCCGCTGCACGGGAATTTAGCCTTTCAATCGAGACATTTTCTCAGACCTAGACTTCTTAGGTTCTGCTTTGACCGATATTCCACTGGCTGAAAATCAGGCTAACCAATCAACAAGCCAGGCTTCCAGTCATGCAGTCTCTGAAAGCGAAACGGAACCATCAACTAGTGCTTTACCTGAAACCTCAGCTACCCTTCAGATGGAGGTTTTCAAGCACATCGGCCAATGTTGAAAAAATTAATGACGTGCTCAAGATTTTATCGCCTCTTCCAGACGCCTCTAAGAAAAGACTGATTGTAAGAAAAAGAAGGACCCAGAAAAGTCAGATTTTGACGTCATCGCCGTATAAAAATGAGCTGGTGGAAAAGACCAAAGATCCTAAAAAGATGCCAAAGATCACGAAAAATATGAAGAACCTATTGAAAAAGAAAAATCCTACACCTAAACCACGTCCTGAACATCAGGAAACTGAATGCATCATTTGTGAATGCGAAACTGAATGCAAAACGTTTGATGAGGATTGGATCCAATGCAATAAATGTCAAGACTGGGCTCATGAGGCATGTGTAGATATAAATCCACCCAATTTATACTACAACTGTGATGTTTGTGTTGCCAAAAAACGATTTCGTCATTAAATATTATGGTGGCCGGAGCTACCCGCCACTTTTTTACAGAGGCCAAAATTAAGTTTAAGTTTGAAGTAATTTTTTTCTTAAGTTTGCTATATTTTTTTGTACTAAATTACGTTAATATATATCTTGTTGATTATTTTTGTGTAGTTCGTTTATGTTTATGTTCTTAACTTTAGTCATAATTTAAAAAATAAAAAAAATGACCGGGGCTACCCCCTTCTCCTACCTTTATTTAAAAAAATGGGAATACAAATTTAAAAAAAGTGTTTTAAAATTTGAAATACCTTTACTTTTGAAAGGTAGCAACTGTTTTTACTTTTCTTCAATTATGACAATTTTAAAGTACGAGCTCGACAAAATGGGAAATTTTCTTGTTACTTTGTAGGCGTGTGCACAAAAAGAAGGCTTGAAAACATTTTTTTACTTTTTTATGTTGAAGCCTGAAGTTTTCCCTATAAAACTTTTTTTTTTTTTTTAGATTTTGATTTCGATTTTTTCTTATCAAATTGTCAAAAATAGAAAAAAAAATTAACACAGGTTGTATTTTTGACCAAACTGACATTTATTCTTACGTTAACTCGACGTTTCGACACTGGTTTTGTGTCCTTATCAAGAGATTTCTAAAAGTATGCAAAACGAAGTCGTTACAAGCATGTTGTTACAGGAACAGGAACACAGGCGTTCCTGTAACAACATGCTTGTAACGACTTCGTTTTGCATACTTTT